TAGCGTAACTTGACGTTTGTAGTTGCGTACAGTGCCTACAGTTGTTAATTTACGCTCTTTCAGTAAAAGTATAAGTCCCACTACAATGGCACAAAAAATTGTTACATTTAATGCCACATTGAGTCAAATTTACCTTTTTTACTTCGCAGACTGACTTAGATACACTGCAAATCTAATAACACGAAGTTTTATCTCCAGCTTTAACAAAAATCAATATGTTTGCGTTAATTATTTTAAAGTTACCCGTCACTAAAAAATGTTCCGGTCATTATTACCCAATGGTGGATGGCGCCGGGTTAAAAGGCTGTAAAGACTGGCTTGAGCATAATATTGCTGTTACGTACATTGTGGTGCCCAAATAACTGGGAAAATAGTATTAGATTGGAGCGTAAAACTTATCGTAAAATCCTTTTCAACTACTGAAGTTTATGACTTGAAACGAGTAAATATACGAGTATATAAAGAGACTTTTCATTGATTTAAATGTTGCACAACTCACACAAGTATATTATTTATGGGTATGTAACCTTTTTAACTCAAACTCTCTTTATTTCATTTTTTTTTTTAAATATACCACAACATTGTTTTGAAGTGTGCCAGCCTTTGAAATAATAACAAAGGTTCGTTGTTTCGTGAACGTTATTTCAAATAATATTATAGTGTCTGTTTTCATGTCAAATATTACACACCCATTATTTATGTTGTATCTGATTTTTTTATCGAAGTAATAGCTAACTAAAACTAAGTTTTATTATTCGACTGGCCTGTTGGTCTAGTGGTAACTGACTGCTAAGCCAGAGGTAGTGGGTTCGATTTTCACCCAGGACCAATAATTGCGTGATGAGCATGAACATTTGTTCTGTGTCTGGTGTACAGGGTTTTCCAATAAGGGGTGTTATTTTAGTATTCAAAGAAAAATGCAATTTTTTAAGATAAATAATCGGCTGTTTATTTTATAATAAAGAGGAAGGTATGCCGTTAATAATGGAAGATAACATCAGCCAAATGGCTACCACGACCACGCTTACAGGACCATATCCTTTTAATGAAATTTTGCATAACCAAATCGCAAAGTGGCTGCCCTATGTCCTCGATAGCCTCACGAATTCCATCTTTGAGGTCTTGAATCGACGCTGGGCTGTTGGCGTAGACCTAATCTTTCACGTGGCCCCAAAGGAAGAAGTCGCAAGGTGTTAAATCACAAGATCTCGGTGGCCAATTGTGATCACCTCTTCGAGAGATAACACGGTCAGGAAACTTTTCCCGTAAAAGAGCAATGGTTTCGTTGCTTGTGTAGCACGGAGCGCCGTCTTGTTGAAAGTAAACGTTGTCCAGATCAATACCATCCAACTCCGGCCATAAAAAATCATTAATCATATCTCGATAGCGCAATCCATTCACCGTAAGTGTTGATCCAACCTCATTTTTGAAAAAGTAAGGTCCAATGACCCCGCCGGACCATAAACCGCACCAAACAGTGACACGTTGAGGATGGAGAGGCTTCTCAACAATAACTCTTCGGTTTTCCGAGCCCCAGATGCGAGGAATGGACAAACCTGCGTTTTCTTCAACACTTTGGGCTACAGCAGCAATATTCTCAGTTGTTCTTGAGCGACGTGCACGGGTTTTATTCTTCACATCACTAACTTGTCCCAACAGCTCGAATTTTTCCACCAATTTCTGTATTGCGGTCCGACAAAGTGCTTCACGACGACCAAAAAATGCTTTAGTTTTGCGAACTGTGACTGCAAGATTTTCACCATTTTTGTAGTGAATTTTAATAATTTCAATGCGTTGTTGAAGTGTGTATCGTTGCATTTTTAGTAATGGCGTAGTTTCTACTTGTCAAATGTCAAAAAATAAAAGCTTCAAAAGTGACAGCTACGGAAATACCGGGTGATTCAACATAACACCTCTTGTTGGAAAACTCTTTATAATATTTATTTATTTAGAAATCAAAATTACCTCCTAGCTTTTGTCCTCCCGCATGTAATCACGGTAAAAAGTAGCCTATGTTACTCGCTGATAATGTACATTTCTATTGGTGTTCGAAACGAGTTGGTGGTTTAGGCGTGAAAGCGTAACAAACAAACAAACGAACTCACTTTCACATTTACAATATTAGTATGGATGTTATCAGAAATCTGGTTACTATAGTACAGGTTCTGACTAATCTGGGATCAGACGGACATGTGTGAGATGGGCCAAGTTATTATTATTTTTTCACATTTTGATTTGTTCACATTCTTACCTCCATAGTTAATTAGTCAATTATTAAGTTGATGACCGGATGGCGTAGTGGTTTGTGTAACGGACTGCCATTCCAAAGGTCGCGGGTTCGATCCCCACACAAGTCAAACATTTGTGTGCATGAAAAATTAATGTTTGATTTGGTCTGGGTGTTTATATGTATAATAAGCATGTATTTACAAAAAAAGTATAAATGTATTTATATCAGTTGACTAGTACCCATAGTACAAGCTAATTTGGGACTAGATGGCGTTGTGTGAATGTGGTACAATATTATAAAATATTAATATTACTTACTTAATCACTTACAAGTGTATTAAAACTGGTCAAATAGAGGGCAATCTAGCCAAAGCGCCGTAGAGTTTGCTACAGGAAATACCTGTTCTTTTACTTGTTAAATAAAAATTTCATCAGTAGCAACAGGGTCACGATTAATCTGTTAAATCTATTTGTACAGCGCCCACTGAATTAATTTACCTAAACTAATTAATCGATGCCAAATATTAGCTGTTAAGAAATTAAATTAGTTTCATTGTCAACGTTACAAATTGCAAAAGGTGAATAAAAAAATGTAAAATTGCTATTATTATTTAAAACAATGTAACCATTAGAAACTTGAAACGAACCTTTTTTTTTTACGTGTGGAAATCCCCTCGGACCGTCACGGGGCGGTGTGTCGGACTCGAACCGACTAAAACCACACGGTGTGCCCTCTTTGCGCTTCCAGTTTAGGAGGGGTCCAGGTAGTTATCGCCTTCTGGACCCCTGCCAGCGCCGGCCCGCTCCTGTTTGCGGGCTCCGTCTCAAAAAATTTTCCTCTCTTTAGGCGACGTCCGGCACACGCGGACGCCGCCCCCTCGCGGCTGGCCAACTAATGCGGGTAGAGGGGAGAACCCATCCCGTCCACCCGCGGCCACACTCAGGGCGGCATGAGGCGCAGGTGAGCGCGCCTCCGCCGCCCGGTTCGCCGGCGGCGGATCAGGTCCGAGTGGAGGTCGTCCTCCCGGGCCTTCTCCGCCGCCTCCTTGTGCGAGATTACCTCCTCGCAGATACATTACATCCTCCTCATAAATTGAGAATAGCGAGTCTGATTTGAATGATTATTATTATTATTATTGTCATATATACTGTTAAAAGTTAATTTTTCCTTTCGCTTACATGATTAGTTAGTTAGAAGTGAAACTAATAGAAGCGTGATATACCCATTTATTTCATACAGGAAAATAATCACTTCAAAAACTTTCCTTCAAAGTTCCTTCAAAGACTTTAGCTTTCATGTTTTGATACATATTATAAAAGATGAGATACGTTCATGATGATTTTATAATAAAATAGCTATCTAAATTAACGAACGTACATTTTTGAGCTACCGATATTGACCACTGCAGTTTTTATACAATCAAAACCATAGAAATATTTAATACATGTTACGAAAACTTTCATAACGCGATGCAAGATTTGTTACTACATAGCTTTTCTGTGTTTTATAAGATATAGATGCCAACAAGAAAACTAGTTACGTGATTAAAAGTACCGTCGCTCATGGACACCTCTCGATTAGGTCCGTAAATATCGCTGGCGAAAAGTAAAGTTTCTTGAAAAGCGTATTGTAGTGGAGTGCCAATTATACAATCAATTTTGGTTGGAATGTCGATATGTCTTCGTTAGACATCATTGACGTATATTTTCATTCTATGTGGAAGTTGCCACTATTATTACGCGCTCTCACTATCTTATTCAATATTCTTAATAACCCATCTTCGCCAACGTATCTAGCTTCCAATTTCCAACTCCTATGTAGTAATCACGATAGAACCCTTCGGTCCTCCAATAACCTTCTTCTTCGTTGTCCGTCCCACACGTCTGAGTTTGTTGGCTCTTCCTTTTTCGTTCAGTCCGTTCTTCTTTGGAATGCGCTTCCACTCGAAATCAGGATGGCTTCCAATACTTTTTCCTTTAAATTAAAAGTAAAGCAGTATCTGGTCAAACAACTGGCAGAATCAAATTGCTCATGATTTCTTTTTATTTTAATACTAAATTGTTATCAGTATCTACTTGCGTGTGTATGTATGTATTCATATACTTCTATATAGTATTTATATATTATAAGGTATGTACTTATGTGTAATATTAATATGTATATGTGTAGTATATAACAGATTTGTATATGTGTATATATTATATGATTTTGTACAAAGTATACATGTTATATAAATGTCTAAATCAACTGTAACTAAAATGCACCTACTTCCAGTTTTCTCTGCATCACCCAATGGTTGACTGGTAGAGAATGCCTTAGGCATTAAGTCCGCCAATGCACCAAATGTGCATGATGTGTAAATAAATTACTAATAGTGTTACTAAGTATAAAAGTATAAATAGTATACACAGAAGTATTACTAAGTAGTATTTCAACAAGGAAAACAATTAAGTACTTGAAAATCTATAGTAAAGTACATTAGCTAATGAAGAGGACGTGACCATGTCGCGCGTGAACGTAATATGTGCAATATTTTTATTTTGTGCTTACGGGGTCTCGTTACAGCCCACTGAAACCCCTCCCACTTCACTAAAACCAAAAACAGTGTGTCCCACAAGTGGGATAGGTAAAAAGTGCGTACATAAATGTTGTCCTTTTGGCCAATATATCAAGAGAAAAGTTTGTGAACCTTCCGACAAACGGTCGAATTTCTCTGCAATAAGTGTGTACAGCAAGAGTTTAGTGAACACTGGAAAGTCTGTGGCAGGATATGTACACAATATTGGACGGTAAATTTGTGAACGATCGGAGCTTTCAAAACAAGTCGATGAACAGAGCTCTAGTGGGATACAGACCGTATGTTCTTGAGGTATTTTTGTCTTTTCGTAATTTTGTGCTTCGAAACCGTTTTTATGTTAATCTATAGGGGAGTATCGTCTTAAAAAACAAGATGTTTTATTATTAATAAACCTTTGATAACACTTGGTTTCTTTATAATTCTTCTATTAAAGTGGAATTTAGTATTTGTAAACCACTTATGGAAGCCTAAATAATACACCATAGTCTAAAAATAACGGTCGAACTATACTTCTGCCATACACAAAGTACTCCTTAATGACAGCAAAAGGTCATTTCAGGTTGGATTCTTGTTCAGACCGCTTGTAAGTTCTTCAAATAATTCTGCTAAACCTCGACTTCAAGGTCAGAGATTATCAAAGAAAGCTATATAATTTTAAATATAACCACCTTTTCTGTTTAACCATAAGAAAATTATCCCCTATTCATCCCGTGGGTGTCGTAAGAGCCGACTAAGGGAGTAAACTACGCAGGACAACAGCACTGCAAAGAGAAGGAAAACTTGAAACAAACCCTTTTTTTTTTATTTTTTATTTTTACGTGTGGAAATCCCCTCGGACCGTCACCCCGCCGGGGCTCTCGTTCGGCGGGGCGGTGTGTCGGACTCGAACCGTCTAAAACCACACGGTGTGCCCTCTTTGCGCTTCCAGTTTAGGAGGGGTCCAGGTAGCTATCTCCTTCTGGACCCCTCCCAGCGCCGGCCCGCTCCTGGTGCGGGCTCCGTCTCTGATCTTTCCTCTCTTTAGGCGACGTCCGGCACACGCGGACGCCGCCCCCTCGCGGCTGGCCAACTAATGCGGGTGGAGGGGAGAACCCATCCCGTCCACCCGCGGCCACACTCAGGGCGGCATGAGGCGCAGGTAAGCGCGCCTCCGCCGCCCGGTTCGCCGGCGGCGGATCAGGTCCGAGTGGAGGTCGTCCTCCCGGGCCTTCTCCGCCGCCTCCTTCTGCGAGATTACCTCCTCGCAGAAGGTTGCGACCGCGGTAAAACAACTGTCGCTACCGGCCATGGAGCGAATTACGGCCGGTAGCGAGAGATCTGCTCCGATGACTGCAGTGAGGGCCCGGCGCTGCGTCGCCCATGCGGGGCAAACCGCCAGCGTGTGCTGGGCCGAATCCTCACTGCAGTCGCAGTGGTGGCAGGCGGGACTCGATTCCCTCCTAGCGACCGAGTACAGGTACTTTCCGAAGCAACCGTGCCCGGAAAGCAGGCGGGGGGACCACGACGGGGCCCATGAAATAATAGGGCCTCCGTCTTATCCAGGGCCACCCGCAAACCCAACGCCTCAATGCGCCCGACCACCAGGGAGACTCCCGTGGCGGCCAGGCGCGCCGCCTCCTGGAAGTTAGCCCCCCGGGCCGTGAGCAAGGTGTCATCCGCGTAGCAGATTACACCCAGCCCGGGGGGGAGACGCCCTCGTAGGGCCCAGTCGTACCCGATGTTCCACAGGAGAGGTCCTAGGACAGACCCCTGCGGAACACCGCACGACATGGCCCTGCGTCTCAAGACGCCATCTCGGTCCTCATACATGACGGTTCGCTCCTCAAGATAGTCTGCCACCAGCCGCCTCAGGTACTCCGGCACTCCGTGGTAGCGGAGCGCTTCCCTGATGCAGCTGAATGGCAGACTATTGAAGGCGTTGGCGATGTCCAAGGACACCGCCAACACCACTCCGCCGCAGCTCACGGCCTCCTCGGTCACGGCCCTAAGGCGCATCACGGCATCGATCGTCGAACGCCCCTCTCGGAAACCGAATTGGGCGTCCGACAGATCGGGGCCAACCTCGCAGAGTTGCCGGACGATGCGGGCAGAGAGCACCCTCTCGAAAAGTTTACCCGCCTCGTCCAGCAACACGATAGGCCTATAGGCCGCGACCGAATCGGTAGGCCGTCCCGGCTTCCTCAGCAGGACCAGCTTCCCGCACTTCCAGCGCTCAGGGAAGCGTCCGGACGCCAGGCTAGCGTCCAACACTTCCCTGAGGTGGTCCGACATGTAGTCGAGGGCTCGGGCCATCACTCGGGCTGGAACCCCGTCCGGCCCGGGGGCAGTGTTCTTGGATCTAATCCGTAGAACAGCCGCCCCCAACTCCGATTCCCTGACGGGCGGAACCTCAGCCTCGCTGCCCCCGTCGTCTCCGGCTGATGCAGCCATCGACGGGGGTGTGTGCTCCGCCCGCTGCGGGAATAGGCCCTCGACCACTTCCTGCAGGAAGCTGGGCTGGAGAGTCTCCGTAAGGGGGGGGCCCGACGTGCGGAGCTTTTGACGCACCGCACGATAAGGGCGACCCCAGGGGTCACGCTCGAGACTCTCCAGCATCTCCTCTCTACACGCATCCTTGGCGCGGCAGATGGCCAGCCTCAGAGTTTTCCGAGCTTCTCGGTACTCCTCATGAAGCTGGTCCACCTCCTCACCGACCCCGCGGTGACGTCGCCGACTACGGGTGAGGGACCTCCGGGCACGTACACAGGCCGCACGGAGGTCCGCCAACTCCTGGGACCACCAGTAGACCTCCTTCCTTGGAGGCCGACAACCACGAACGCGGGGCATGGCCGCATCGCAAATCTGCGTAATCGCATGGCAGAAGCGACCAGCCCCCATGTCGACCTCCTCGGTCGGGGCCTGCGGAGACAGCCATGAGTGAATAATGGCCGCCTCCTCTAGTAGGTCCCTGTCGAGCTTGGCGACAGCCCACCGCGGGAAGCGGGAAGGGCGCCGCGCCGCGTGACCCCTACTGGGGTCCTGGGACCGGGAGAGCTCGAATCGGATGTACAAATGATCCGAGAGCGTCTCGACCTCTTCCAGGACACACCAGTTCCTTACTCGTGCGGCGACTGCAGGGGTAGCGAACGAAAGGTCCACTATCGACCCCCCCTGCTGTCGCACGCACGTGTTGGTGGAGCCTCTGTTCAGCAAACAGAGGCCCACCGAGGCCGCCCACTCCTCTACGGCCTCGCCCCTGGCGTCCGTCCTGGGGGAACCCCACGCAATGGACTTTGCGTTGAAGTCCCCCAGCACAAGGACGTGCCCAGACGCTAGTCGCCGTATCGAGGTCTCCAAGCTGGTTAGGAAAACCTCGAAGTCGTTCAAACTCCGGTTGGGGGAGAAATAAACACCATATATGGTGATCCCCCCCCACTCGACGGCAACATATCCAGTGCCCTTGTCTCTTAGCGACAAGGGCGGGGAATGAGCCGTCGTGGAACCGACGACTGCCACGGAGCCGTCCCAGTCACCCATCCAGTTTGGACGGGGAGGGACAGAATAGGGCTCCGCGACTACGGCAACACCTATCGACCACTGTGCCATGGTTTGCAGGAAGAGATCCTGCGCCGCGGCACAGTGGTTCAGGTTCGTCTGGACCAGGAGGTTGGAGACTTGATCCATTACTGGATCGTCTCTACAACCTCCTCCATGGGCGACGACGACGACGCACGTACTACATCAGAGGCAGCCCGGGTCGACTGGCTAGCCCCTGACGTCTGCCGAGAACTGCGGGGAGGCTTGCAGCCTCTCTGCCCCATCTGGTGATTGGCGGGCTTATTGCCCGCCGCACACGCTGGGCAGTGAGGGGCGGCAGAGCATTCTGCCGCCTTATGCCCCGGTTGACCGCAGCGGAAACACAGTCCGCCGCAGTCAAAACAACTGTCGCACTTGACGCGCGTGTGTCCCGCGGCCAGGCATTTAAAACACCTCATCGGTCTCGCCGCCAGGACTGTGATCCTGGCGCTCACGAAACCGATGAGCAGCCTGCCGGCGTCGGCCAATACTTTGGCCGACGCTACGGGACAGCTGACCCACACGGCGCCAAGCCCTCCTGGACCGGGGCGGATGGTGCCGACCCTGACGTTGTCTTCTCCCGGATTACAGCGCGGACATCTTCGGCCGTCACTGAGTTGTCCAGGCCCGAGATGCGCAGTTCCGCGCACTTGGTAGGCCTGGCGACCCTGACACCATCTGTGGCTGCAAATATTCCCCGCAGCTTCTCAGCGAAGGAGTCCGCCGTCTTTGCGCCTTCAGCCCCAGGGAACTCGAGAACTCGAGCTCCCGTCTGGGCGAGGCGCATCCTGACCCCCACCGTCCCAAACTCGTTGGCGAGGCTGTCCCGGGCCTTTTTGAAGACGGCCGCATAGGACAGCCCGCCGTCAGCCGCCTCCGGGGACAAGGTCACAACTACAGCCGCGGTTTTGGGCGGCTGCAGCTTCCGCGGCCTCTTTGCAGAGGCCGTTGCCACCGGTGGCGAAGGCTGGGCTTGGGCTGCTTTTTGGGCAGCCTTTCTGGCCCGCCTTCGGGACTTCTTGGAGCCCCTCGCCTCCTGCCAACCCTCGTTGGAGGGGGCAGGTGCGGAGGGGCCCGGCAGGGGTGTCGGAGTGGGGAGCGGAGGGAATGCCACTCCGCTCCTCGGCGCCGTTTTAGGCCCCGTCTTGGCCGGCGCCTGGGGATGTGCCTTGGCCGGCGCCTTAGCCGGTGCCTTGGCCGGCGCCTGGGCCGGTGCCTTGGCCCCCCTCCTCGGCTTTTGTGGAGCCGATGGAGTAGGGGCAGACGCCGCCGCCGCGTAAGAAACGCGGCCTCCCACAACGGGGAGCGCGGTCGGAGCGGCGGCCTTAGGCCGCTGTGCCGACGCGAGCGGGGGGCGCATAATCGGCGCAGGGGGCAGTCTCTCCTCCAGGCCAGCCAGGCGTCCGTCCAGCATATTCCCAACTGCGATGAGGATTTCTCGCAGTTGGGAGTCAAATGCCCCTGAGTTGGTGGTAGGGGCAGGCTGGGACGCGGACGGGGCTTCCCGCTCGGGAAGGTTCGCCTGGAAGCGGGCGAACTGAGCACTCAACCCGCTCCGTCAGCCTCTCGTTGGCCACCTGTAGGCGCGAAACGTCGCCCACTAGGCCCTCCACGACCTCCGACAAAGCGGAGGAGGAGTCCTTAAGGGCCCTCACAAACTAGCCCTTAAGGTTCACGGACTTGGTGGCCACCTTGTGAATGACGGCCACCGCCGCTTTCGCCCTCTCCTGCACGGACACGGGAGCCTGGGGGGCATTTCCACCCACCGGCTCCCGAACCTTGAGCAGGAGATCCGCGATCTCCTCCTCCGCTACGGCCTTGCCGTCCACCCGTACACTTCTGTAGGACTCCGCGTTTGAGAACGCGGAGCCTGACGGGGTTAAGACCGGGGCCGAGGCCGGTTTGCGCGCCCTCCCTCGGCGGCTGCTTGCCACCTTTGGTGGCATCATCTCCTGGGACGTATCCGTTTCCTCGTCCCTGGAGCGTCCGCGTTTCCGACTGTCGCTTCGTTCCGCCTCCATGGCCTCCGCGCCATCCGACGAAGCGGCGGATCCGGAACGCAGCCGATCCGATGCTCTTCGGCTCCCAGAGATCAGAGTCAGACTGACTTCTGGGAGCCCCATCGAGATGGGCGTTCCCGACGCCACCTCACCCTCAGTGGACGACCCATCGACTCCACTGTTCCTCTTCTCCTTCCTCGTTGCCGTGTCCGTTTGACTTGCCTTTTTTGTTTTGGTTGGTTTTCCGATCGTTTTTCTTAAATTTTGGTTATCATTATCCATAATAAATCCCACGAGTGGGGGAGAACTAAAGGTCCACCCGGGCAGAGATCCCCCATTACCCGGGCAAGCGTAAGTTTTTAACCCAACCGAGGGGTCCGCAGGTACCTCGGCTTGGAGTGCGCTCGCGACTGAACTTCCCATCAGCCATGCATCCCCTGGCCACGCACCAGAACACGGGATTCGGGGAATTTTTTAGAGAGGTTATCTTCCTCGCGGTCCGGGCGGTTAAGCCAAGACCCTCGCCCCCGATCAGAGCCGCGAGACTTAACCACAGCGCTCTTCTCGGGATTACGATATGCCGACGGTTGACAAGGAGACTACGTCCCCCTGCCTGCTCGGTGGTAGTGTGAGTACACGCCGAGCCCGTCCTCCTTTCTCCACCGCTGACAGCGGAGAAACTGTGGCCCCTACAGGGCCCCGCCATCCGGTTTTTTACCGAGGTTTCCTCCTCCATGCTCCGAAGAGCGAAGAGCCAGCAGGGCAACCGGCAGACACGCCCACCCTGCTGGACCAGGCCTTGCCCGAGAGCCGATGAACGGCTGCCTCTTCTGCTAGAATATTGGCCGCTGGCGATAATCCTCTCCTCCAAGAGGACAAGGAGGAAACAGTACCATCGCCAGCGTTTCCAGGGTGCACCACGGGGAGGTTTTCTAGCCAGCACCCCACTTGAAACAAACCCTATACCAACCCGTCTGGCCAGCGTGGTATGGTAGGCCGAAACCAACTTTCTAAGGAGAGGCCTATGTACAGCAGTGGACCATTAAAGGCTATTGACGATGAGAAAATTAAAAACGAAACATTTAAAAATTAAACTTTTAGTAACAAACGTAGATTAAAAACAGTTTACTCAACTAAAAACTTCGATTTAGTGACGAACGGAATTAAAATAATCAAAATCAGACCATAGTTACTTGACTTAAATATGTTTGTCTCACCAAACCGATTGGCATATGCCGAAATTCGAGTGGTTTACTACTAAATGCTAATAAGTTATATTAACCATCTCCATTCATCACCACTCATCCCTCTCTGAAATGTACTCCAAGATGCCAACTTTTAGAATTCATACAAACCACGTTTACTTGCAAAGAAATAATTTTGAATTTATCCTCAAAATCATCTTTAGTTTGTAACTTTCAACCAAAGAAAGCATATACTGGTTACAGGCAAAGCTAAGCTAAATTATAAAAAACTGTTACACCGATGATTTGTCTGTTTGTGTGGCTAACGTTTTACGAACATACATTTCCATGGTACATATCGTATTCTTAACCAACTGTATCACGAGAAACATATTTTTTGAAATATTGTGCTTTGCTTAAATAATATTTTTTCAATAGAAACCTTTAAAGCTTGAAACTTACAAGTAATAACAACGTCGCATTATGAAATTACGTGTTTTATAAACGAGGTCAAACCAACAAATAACTCATTTACAAATGACAATTGTTTTCCTTATAACGTTTTATTAGAAGTATCACCAACAATGGTTACGCATTAATTAGCAATTAATAAGAATATTGTTATTATGTATATTGTTATTCAAGTGATGTGATAATATGCATATGTTGATAAAACTGCCTACCAGCCATTATAACCGACGCAGAGACATGGTCCAACGCAAACGAGCCGGCTCGATGAGCCTGAGACCGGGGCTTTACAGGCTTAAGCACTTTTTTTGTTTTATTTACTAAGTGTGGTATCAGAAGACCCAACCCATCTCTGATATTCTGGATGGGCACTCAAAAGCCAGCAAGTCACTTATGACTTTTGAGTTGCAGATGTCCATGAACTTGTTTGGACTTAATACTTTAGAAAAAAACCCCAAGCAGCCAGTCATGGCTAAGGTACCGAACTAGTGTTTAAAAGATTTCTGTAGTGGTAGTAGTGGATGCTGATGTGAATTCACAAGTACACACACAAGAATCTAAAATATTTTTATTATAAACCTTTAAGAATAAGCAAAATCTTAAAAAAATGAGCGACCGTATCGCTGACAATTATATTTACCAGGTAACAAACTGACCAACAGACATATATTATTGAATACTATAATAACAATGTGTATAATTTTTATTATTTTTGAGTATGTTGCATTTTTTTTATAATTCAGAAGGTTATAGAATTTCAATATACGTTTATATCATCAGTCATGGTCATATGTCAAATGACTGTCACAGGCATGTACCTTTATTTCAGAAAATGGACACACGCCATCTAGTTTCAAACTAAGCAGAGCTTGTACTACGAAAGCTAGATTATTTTTTTACACACCTAAGATAGTTTTAATTATTATTTTGGATGCTCGTACTGCTCTATGTATATTATCAACTATTATAAATGTTTTAGGCTGAAAATAGAAAATAATGTCACCGGAACTCTTCTTTCGATGTCATAATTGATTACGACAAGTAACAAATAACATTAACACTGATCTAAAAATAATTTCTCGAACCCAGTAGATATAAACCATCAAGGATGGGTTCCATGATACATCACATATAAACAAAAAAAATCATCAAAATATGTGCTGCGATGTAAGAAACGTTCAATGAAATTAAAATTAATATTTGTATTTTTAATATTAGTCAAAATTACTTAATATAATTAAAATAATTAGTTAAATCAGTTTAGTTTTACAATTAAAGATGAATTTGAACTCTAAGGTAATTCATCAGATTCAATGTCATGTCCATCAGTGTCCAGATAATGAATTTATCTAAAATATGCTTATTTGTTTTTAGACCGGAGATTTGAAACTAGAAAAACCAAATATCTATCAACGTATAGTTGATGTACCAAATGAAGATTTCTGCATCGATTACGTCATCACAAAGAAAGGAACCCTCTCGAAAGATGCACAAGTGTTTGTAGTTGTCGAGGCTGAAGGCAAGAGTGTAATAGAAGTGAATGAGAACACTACTTATTTAGCTGTCGGTGAGTATTGCAACAGTGTACAGTATATGGAGGTAGCAGGGTTTACGACACCCAGTAAGAAAAAAGAAAAATAGCAGAGTAGAGTATTTCTGACTTAGTCGCTTTCCATCAGGTGACCCGTCTGCTTGTTTGCTCCCTCTTCCATAAAAAAAACGCAGACATAGCAGATGAAGCTCCCTTTGCAGAAGCAGACTGGATTCAGAGGTGTAAATAAGCAATGACTAGGTCAGGTCCAGGGGATCACATATCACGGCAAAATTTGACCACTGTAACTGATACGATACATTATGATCTGTTGACTACTTCTTTTATTCTGTTATTTAACCATTTTAATTTGTTCGACAGCTCGATGGATCTCGTGTGTGTTCCTGTTATTAGTATTTGTGGTTTACATTTTGCTGCCAGAACTTCGGAACCTGGGTGGTCTGATATTAATGAATTATGTGGCTAGCCTGTTCATAGCCTTCTTGTTACTCGCTGTCATCCAGTTAGATGTATACCATACTGGTACCTGCATTGGCTTGAGTAAGTACGATAGTTTAATTTAAACTATTTAAATTTATTTCTGGATATTTAAGACTATAGGTTTATCACTGGCGAGAACGAAAAAAGGAATAACGACAAACATAAGAACTGACATCGCGTTCGTAAAGGAAGGCTCAACTTTTTCAATTAAGTGTGTATTACTAATAGACTGAGGTCTTTGCCGTTGCCGTTGGAAACTACTATCCCGCTTTAAAAAGAAACAATTATTATGATTTAACCAACGAAATAACTAAAAAAAGTTGTCGTTGCGTTTTATGCCGTGGAAGTGGGTGCGAGGGGTATACCAGCTAAATCCCTCTATAACCTGCTTAAAGACCTTGGATTGTCAAGAGCTTCAGTAAGCTCTTTTCTTGAAAATCTAAAGCGGCATTGCTAGGCTCGTGTCAAATATGGTTAGGTAGAGGTGGTAACACAGCAGACAGTGGAGGTGAGCGCTGACTCGTCGGAAGGAGTACCCATTAAACCTATACCTGGGTCGCAATTCCCAGACGCTGTCAAAGTCGCATGTGTTGCCCCCATCCATCACGCGATGGACCCGCACGATGAATCTAAGGAACGCTAAGAAATAGGTCTAGTAAGAAAGCGTTTTGTTTCTAATATATTAATAGTACTATAATCGGGATCAAGATAACTTGTATCGGGATACACAATCGAATTCCCAAGACGATCAACAAATCGTCGAACTATACAGGAGACTGTGACGCGTCTCCACGGACAATTGACCATTGGCAAACATGCCCCGCGAGACCAGAATCGTGTACGATTAACGATATTTATCAGGCAAGGCCCAACGCCATTACGTCGCCGAGCCAAAACTGTTTAAAGTGTTGATACGATAAGACGAAGACTATAAGATTAAGGCGTTATGGCGTTTATTCAACAGTCAAACTACTATGCAATAGTTATAGATATACCTTATGCTTTTATATCCTGATTTTCTTCCGCTGCTTTTGATTCTATAGTTACTTTAAACTTGTTCTTTTTCAGCATGTGCTATTTACTACTTCTTCTTGGCTACCTTCTGCTGGATGAGTGTCATGTCTTACGACATTTGGTGGACTTTCAGGTATTTATCAATTTGTCATCATACCTACCAGCCTTTAGTAGTCCACTTCTGGACATTGGCCTCTCCTTAGAAGTGAGGTTTTGGCCTACTATATCATGCTGGCCAGACGGGTTGTTATGGTTTAGTTATAAAGTTTGTTTTAAGTTTTCCTTCTCTTTGCTGTACTTCGTAGTTTACTGTCGTGGTCGGCTCTCACGACACCCACGGGATGAATAGGGCTGGTCACTCTCTGTATTCTTATTCGTCACCACACGAATAATCCTCCGGATATCCTCTTGTATAAATATATAATTTAGCTAGTACACTATGACGTATGGACAGTAAACACAGGAAGCGCAAAATGTATGTACCATGCGTATTTGCACCTTGCAACCAAAGAACGACAACCCACTGAATTAGTTTACGTACTATCAACCACTTATTGTAATTGTGCTTGGTCTGACTTTATCACAATTTAGATTAATTTAATATGGCCGTAGTCCTTATTCGCATTAGATCTAGTACTAGTCGATAATAATACTACGAGTATATACTTATTGATCCAAGAACCTTTAACACGTGGACTTAACACTTGGCTATGAAATATATATTTTGCTTTATTTTCCAAGTATATGTATTTTTAGTTAACTAACCTGTTAGTTTAGTGGAAATGGTCCTGACTGTCGAGCCAGGTATTGTGGGTTCGATATTCCCCTAGAACAAATAATTGTGTAATGAGCATAATGTCGGTCCGTGTGGTGATGGATTAAAAATACGGAGTGTCATCCCGTGGGTGTCGTAAGAGCCGACTAAGCAAAGAGAAGGAAAACTTGACACAAACCTCATACCAACCCATCTGGCCAGAGTGGTTTAGTAGGTCTAAACCTCCTTGCTAAGGAGAGGCCTATGTTCAGCAGTGGGCTACTTAAGGCTGTTGATGTGATATGATGATGGGAGCACAATACACGTATATAATTTACCTATAGTACCTTAGTGTGTACTTAGAAATATATAAAATTATTCGGATTTCCAAATTACCAGCTCTGCATAATTTGGCAATAGATGGTCATAAGATGTCCCAAGTTATTATTATTATTTCTACATATAGGGATTTGTTTTACAGAGGTTATGCCAAGGCTCGTCCTATCCACCGTCGTGGGGAACGCTTCAAGCTCCAAATGTACTGTTTATGCGCATATGGCCTTCCACTCCTCCTCACTATCTTCCTTTACGTTGTCATAGTGACTAACATGCAGCATATACCCTGGTTTATCACGCCTCATTTGCTGGATACAGGATGCTTCCTTGAAGGTTGGTATTTCCAAGTTTTTTTTTAAATCAAAATGTAATGGTAGTGTAGTGGCAAGTCATAGATCTGATGCCTCTGTCCTAGTGACTTATCCAATCATAGTAGATTGGTGATTACCTTTTCCCGTATAAAAACTGTTATATACAATCGGTGTATCATCACCACAAATGAAAACGGCCATAACCCTTGGCAATATTGCATTAAGCCAATCCCAAATTAAATCGAGAAAAGAGCAGAACAAACAAAGCAGCAAAATGTATTTGGTTGGGATTTTCTGGTTGTGGAATCGCCTAACGCTTTTATAGAAACTGAAAAATTGTAAGACTACAATTTGATTTCTAAACTTTAAAACTTAAGATATTATTTTCAATACAGGTGAAGCGAAGATGCTGTACCTGTATACACCAATGCTGATTTTGATCATTTGCAACTGGTTGTTCTACCTGATGACGGCGTTTAATGTGTGGCGGTTAAGTCGCGGGACGGCTGTACTGGATACTGCTGCAGCTGGATCTCCTGCTGCTCACCGCTGTCAGATGCGCAGGTAAGTCATTCTAGTTTCTTGGAGCCTTAGTTAAAAGCTGGAGAAAAGCAGAGTAAATTTGACCAACCAACAATTTTCTTTATAACAGAACGATATCTATATTGTCCGTGTGGTGACGGATTAAGCATAAGTAATGTCACCACCCCTATTCATCCCGTGGGTGTCGTAAAAGTCGACTAAGAGAGAAAACTACGCTAGACAACAGCACTGCAAAGAGAAGGAAAACTTGAAACAAACCCTATTCCAACCCGTCTGGCCACCGTGGTATAGTAGGCCAAAACCTCCTTCCAGAGGAGAGGCCTATGTCCAGCAGTGGACTATCATAGGCTGTTGATGTGATATTGATGTGATGATGATCTATATTGACATTGATTTCAAGTACGATTGAGTAAACTAGATAAGATAGATAGAGATAGAAGAAACTTGATGTATATTGAAGAAACTTGATGTATGTTGAGTGTTTCTATTCAAATTCAAAAGTTGTTACATTTAGTGTGCAGTTCTATTTACTGAAATGAAACGAATCCTTGAAATATAGCTTATTTATACTCTATTTCTTTATGAAATTTCAATACTTAAAATGAGTGCTTGAAGGTTTTTATTTCTTTATTAAACATAAATTACACTGATTAATTCCTAGTAAATAAACCTAAAATTAACTATATATTAAATAACCCAGCCCTGGTCGCTCCCAGCGCAAAGGTGCCCATAACGCTAGCTGCGTTCCCACTCTGAATGGCCATGGCCAATCTCTGTCACCTCTGTCATCTCTGTCACTCTGTCACCAGTCACTTCGTTCAGCCTGTGCCCTAACTCATGTACAAACACTTTATCATCTGTACCTCAACTGCCAAAGGTCTAAACTGCTATGGGCACCTTTATCCTCTAATTTTATTTTTTTCTCCCTGAATTAATAAGTAATTTGGCTTGAAACGATGATCCTAAGAGGCACTTATAAAAGACAAGTGAATAAATTATTTTATTCTTAAATTATCCTGTAATTTAGTCCCGTATTACCTGTTTAGCTTTACAGAGCATTACTAAAATTAATAATAAATACATAATCCATGACTGTTTGCGGTCAGCTTCTGTAATGGGGTTTTATTAGTTGAATATCTGTATTACGGTATGCAGGAAAAATCAAGTACCTATATCGAAACTGTTTTGTCAAATATTTAGCAAACAAAACGTATCGAAGATCTCTTATATGCCAGTGCCGATATACAACCGCCCATTTCCAAGGGGTTGAGCCTCATGAGAAGAAAAGGCAAACAAACTCACGGCCACTCTTTTTTAATTAACAGATACATTTATATGTATCTGTTAATTAAACAATGTTGTGTATATTTAATGATGCTATTATTAGCATCATTAAATATACACAACATTGTTTTGATGTCTACCAGTGTGTAAGTTTTAAGGTTTAGTCCTTAGAGCTATCCTTGTTTTTATCAACATATATTACATTTTCAAATATTAAATAATGACTTGCCACTGTCATTATGTTTATTTCTTTAAATTTCTGCCTCAATAAACAACGATCGCCTTAATTATAACCTTTACATATAATTATGTTTAAATCCGGGCATTAATGCAATTTCGTAGAGTCAGGTCACGTGTCAGTCTGTGACACAATGGCCAATGTCAGCCTGGTCGAAAAGTCAGATAATTTAATGGTATGGAATTCAATTTTTGTATAGCATAAGGGGGCGAACGAGTAGTTGGGCCCGATGGTAAGAAACCAATTGGTGGCAACTCGAGAGTAACAATTACGTTTTGTTATCGTTTATTATCAATAATCATTCTGTTACCAGGTTCATGGTGTATTTGAAGTTGTCTGTAGTGATGGGGCTGAGCTGGTTGCTAGAAATCATCAGTTTCATTCACCCAAGGTACGGCATGTGGTACCTATCTGACACATACAATATGCTCCTCGGATTGGTCATATTCGTCATATTTGTGTGCAAGAAGAAAATTTACAAGAAGCTTTACAAACGGTATGTTTATAATACATTTTCTTATCTTCTTTTCATTCATTATTAATATTCTATGTCACTTTAAATACATTACTATCTAGAGCCAAACTCAGTACACTAATACTATGAGCTCTCGACTATGGATATATCTATACGTTTTGGTTATTAGATGTCCGTCTCCTAGTGTACAGATACAGCGACCCCGGCCTCAAATACAAAGTATACCCAAATCACTAAAACTTACGATCCTTTGATCGCCTGATAAACGTGTCTCAGTTTACGGCCAGTTAGCAATGCTTTTATTGATGAGACTAGTACACTTGAGTATAGAAAGTTAAGACATACCTTTCGGGCAATATAGTAATTTATTTCAGATTATTTTTAAGTTGAATTTCGCTTGGCATCTATCACTTTATACTTGACGTTATGTTTCTGATAGATCGTCATATGTCACATGTAATATATTACTATTCAAGTCAACATAGTAATTTATTCCAAGATGTATCCATGTATCCTTAATATCTGGTTTGCAATCACTACGGTCTATGCCGTCGTCATCTGGTTTGCAATCACCCTAAATGATGCGGTTCCGAAATCAGATAATTTCGATGACAGAACTTAAATGAAAAGGGACATACTAAAGAACGAAACGCAAAGCATTGCAAAAAGCATAGGCACACATCAAATAAAATTGGTACACCTTCAGTAGAATTTCAACGTGAAACTACTAATAGTAAACACAGAACACTTCGTCAATAGTCATTATTTTGCTGTCAAATATATATAGAAAGATTTATCTACAGATGCTTTGATTGAATTCGAGTTTTAATCTCCACCATCTCCTTCTTTTATTTAGGTGCAGGATGAAGCCAACAAGAAGCTTCCACCAAGGTTCTTCGAATAGTTACTTCAGTAATAGTTCAGATTCAGGTCCAGAAACCGTCACCCTTCAAGTGTGTGGCAATCCAAAAGGACAAAATGGTTTTTCTAACAGCAAGTGAAAAACTTGGAAACAAAAGCTTTACTTTAAAGATTATTTAAGTTTAAGCATTAAAGAGTTAAAATGAAAAGCACAGCTTAGAACGCCTGCTTGCTCTTTTATCACAAATGATCATAGTATCGTCTACTGACAAGACTGAGATAAGCAATCAAAACAATGTTTGACCTTCAAGATTACCAGGATTTATTTTATCCAGCAAACCGACTTTCAATTTCATCTATAAATGTAACCCTATTGTAAATATGGCTTCAAAATCTTTGACTGCAACTGCTGCTAACCTGATACAGTTCATTAATTGATTGCAACGTTGGGTATTGTTTCAATGCCACATTTTTCCGGCCAAACAGGCGGTTGATATCATCAGGCATCATCTCAGAAAAGCGTAATGGTATCAGTATAAAGTGTCCATTTAATGCACATTCAAGCGTCATTCAATTTTAATAGACCTAACTGATAATTTTATTGCTTGTAACATATACTTGTAAAAGTGTGGTGATGGATTAGGAATACGGAATGTCACCAACCAATTCATCCCGCGGGTATCGTAAGAGCCGACTAAGGGAGCAAACTACGCAGGTCAACAGCATTGCAAAGAGAAGGAAAACTTGAAACCAACCTTATATCAACCCAGCGTTGTATAGTAGCGTGGTAGCGTAAGCCAAAATCTCCTTTCTAATGAGAGGCCTATGTACAGCAGTGGACTGTTATAGGCTGTTGATGATGTTGATAAACATATAATATATCAGTCAGTTATCTATCAGTTACAAGCTTGATACTCATAAAACAGCCAGAACATCGTACTTCTTACTGTAATTTCTGAGCTTATCTGATTAATTTGTGTAGGACCTGTTTCGAATTGTAACTACAACTGAATTGATAAATACCTCTTGAATACGAATGATGAATTGTTTATTGACTAATAATATTGTACACTCATATTTAATAGGTAATTCCTGGTATTTAAAGATAATAATATAATACTCATTGCTTTTTACATTGAGTGTAAACGTATTATGTTATTAGTTATAAGTAGTACCTAACTATGAATATGTACATAAACATATCAGTATTTGTGTCACTTTAGAAATAATCTTCCTATAACTAAGTTTGTTAAATTAAGGACAGTATGTTTTAGTGTTTTTAAATTTATAAAAAAATTGTTTGGACTAATACCAGCCTCAACTTTCCGCCATCGTTCCACACGGATTTTTTTTTATCCTCATCACCTGGATAGTTGGCGCTCCACAACTGTGCGTCTTTCGGGACACTTTTTGCCGCACAACCAATCTGTGGAACGGATTATCGTCTGCGGTATTTCCGGACCGATACGACCTTCAAACCTTCAAGAAAAGAGCGTACTCCTTCCTAAAAGGCTGGCAACGCGTTTGTGACTCCTGAGTTGCAGACGTTCATGGTCACTTTCCATCAGATGACCCATCTGCTCGTCTGCCCCCTCTAACATAAAAAAATATATATATATAAAAAAAACATCACGTTTTTTACTTTTTCACAAATTTTAAGAGGTAATCTAACATGATGTGTATTATAAACCTACATATTAGATAAATGTAGGTTTATAATACACATCTTGTAATTACTATATTACTTTATATTATTTTATCACAGTAAAACTTTTATTTACGTTCCGTTTTACTTGACTTGTTAGGGCTGTTGTCCCTTACACCAGAGACTATTTGTCTTATTCATTAATTAGCTAATGAATTACCAGCCCTTGCCCCTTATATTTGCACATTTAATATGAGTGGGTTGTGCCATAGTTTAAATGTTCACTTTGCTAATTGCCTCGGCGTAAAGCGGTGGGTTTGTCCTTGCACACAATTCACAAACTTATGGTTCCAAATGTCTGTGTATTAAGACGGGCCTTAATAAAAACTGCTAAAAAATCACTCAGAGACAGTATTAGCGACTGCAGTACAAAAAATAAAAATAAGCTGTATTCTTTATCCTTTAATTTTTCACTAGTAGCGTTCGAAAACTGTGGTAAAAATATATTTTTATTTATTTCTTTAGGACAACTTACAAAACTTACTTGCCACGGCATTGTAAGGGACAGTTTAATCTAAGATTTTGTTTATATTAACTAAACATAAACTTACAGATTCTTTTACAGATTAAAAAAAAAATCTCAATCTAAAATTAATACAAAACTGTAAGAAATAATTATATTTTTACAAGATACAGAAAACCATACACAGTCATATACAAAACAAACAGAACACGATCGAGATTACAGGACAGTGATGCATTTATTCTCATCTCGTATTTAAATGGGACTTATTTTAAGTACAACTAATTTAAATAAAGAGTAATTATTGAAATCGCATCACTAATGACCAAGATATCATTACAAAAAAAAAAGACGTGTGGCACTCGGGGACTGCCGCGGTAAAGCTATTGCATAGCATTTTTTATCAACTTAGTATTAAATCATTATCTCAGGAAAATCCTATAGAAATTTGCCCGGCCGGGAATCGAACCCAGTAAGCAGCGTTTTCAAATTCCACGCGAACATAGTCACGGGTACCAGCTAGTATTAAATAATTATCTTAGGAAAACCCTATAGAATTTTGCCCGGCTCCGGAATCGAACCCACTAAGGCAGTGTTTTCAAATTCCACACGAACAAAGTCGCGGGTACCAGCTAAAAAATCTGTAGGGGCCAGATTGTTCGTCTCCTTTTCCCAGTTTAGACGAACCCAAACATGGAGTGTCCAAGTGCTCCAGGAACCGAGAAAATCAAAGGGGGGATAAATGAAATAAATGGAGGGGAGAGAAGGGGAGGTATTTTGAAGAGACCTCAATGCAATTATAAACTTTTTGGTGGGGGGGGTATTGTATGTGGATGTTATTACATTAATAAAAATAAACTGGTCTCCCCCCTTTGTCATGTCAAAGGAACACCCTACCTTAAAAAAAGTTCTGCTATTTATCGATAGATAGCAAAACTAAAAAGTATCACCGCTGTGCCGGTCGGAGTGGGAGGTGTTAGGTTATTTTCGTTACGGCATTTCTGGATTCGGTCTCCACGCTCAAGGGCCGCGACAGAAGCTATGCAATAGCTTAAAAAATTAATAACCTCCTCTTTCTTGGTGTAGGTGATCAAATACATGAATGTACCTATGTGAATCGACAAATATTTTAACGACGACGCTTTTATGAAAGCCGTATATCTACCAACAGAATAAACTCTCAAAAGAAACAATCGTCAAACTTGAATTCATCAAATACAATACGGACACGATGCATCTACAGAAATTCGAGAAACACCGAATTGTAAGAAAGATTACAGGCTTAAATAACACTGTACACTTCCACAGACATAAGTTAAACCATGACTATGAAAAGCGAAAAAACCGTAGTCGTATACAAAAGCGTAACATGTTGCGTCTTGCCCCGATCACGATCATTAGTCAAATCAAAAAGCGCTCGCTTTGGCATAATCCTTTCACGAAATAATAATAATAATACACAGTCACAAAACGCCATCTAATCATAAACTAAGCAAAGCTGTGGTACTAGACAACTGATATAAATACATACATGTTTTTTTTCCGAAATATATACATATAATAAGTAGAACCACCCAGAGCAAAACAAACATTAAATGTTCATGAACACAAGTGTTTGCCTTGAGCGGGAATCGAACCCGCGACTGTGAGCAGTCCTTTACACAAACCACTACGCCATCCGGCCAACCGAAAATAAAATAATAAAAATAACCCCTACAGATAAAAGTATACCGAGATGAAAGATGTTACAAAAAACTAAAGTGATTCTGTCTTCTAAGTTCAAATAAAATACTCTTTTAAAATTTTACATTATTCAAATTAGATAGGTACTTGTTCTGTACGAGGATCGCCGGAAGCTCCTCGTGAAAGACCAACGTTATTTTAAAATACAATTTATAATTTTTTAAGACGCCATGCAGTGGGAGTACTACTCCTCGGAGATTTTCATAAATAGAATTTCAGGTAAGCTTGTTAAAATTCAGTGTTCTGCTGTTATAGAGGGTACCATGAGAAACTGGAGCATTGGAACGTTCTTTAGTAAAACTGTCAGTAATTGTTTGTGGGCAAGGTGTAGCGGAATGGGTTATAAGATCCCTCTATAGACAAAGTGATCATGTCTAGAACACTGAGCCTTAGAAGTATATTCATATATATATAGGTATATACTAATTGGTGTGAGAATTTTAATTGCGCGATGCAGAATTAGTAGTTACTTAGTAGTTCAGTCGGTGTTCATTAGATGGTATTGTTGGCACCTTTTTCTTAGTATGTGGCAAACACCAGATGGTATAATAAAGCTTCCGGTAATCGTCGGATTTTCCACAAGATTAAAGTTGATCTTGAAAATAAATGAAAAGATGTTGCTGTGAGTTGTTTACAATGGAAACTGGTTACAAAAACTAACAGGTAGGCGATCATAATTGTCCACAAACACCGTTTAAATGCCAAATCTACATATATCTCTCAAAGATGAAACTGACAGCTGAGCTGAAACCGCGGGGTATAAAAGCATGAAATTTTGCATAAATATTGTTGTTCTTAAAAGACCTTTCCCCCATTAGGAATGTATCCTGTGTGGCGGTGGACTTTACAAACATACATGAAATGGACACAAAGAACACCCAGACTCTGAACAACAATTTGTGGATTACACAAAGTAGATAGTACGTAACACGTAGTAAGAAACGTGTAGTAGGAAGTGGCGTGGCGACCGCTTAAACCACTACGCCATCCATGCAGTCATCAAATGATCCTTAGGTGTGCACTGAGATTTTTAAAAATTCCACCCCTAAGGTAAAGTAAATTAGTCAGACAGTTAGTTTGTATCTTCTTTTATAAATAAACATATAAACATCTTGACTCATTATATCCTCTACGATGTCTGATGTTGACCACCACACGGATGAAGTCGCAGGCAAACGGTATTGCTATATAGAATTGACTACTATTCGATAAGCCTAGTATTTGGATAGACTGGATTGCGTTGCTTTTATGCAAAAATGATTATGCAACATACAAACATGGTAAGCTCCGAGTGCGTTACAGGGTACGAGTGCTTTCACACTGAAACTGTTATTATTCTGAACACGCAATTTGCATGTACTTGATTCGCTATCCACTTTATTTAGAAGGTTTTAACGGTATGCTAGCTTTTGAAGGTCAAACGAACTAGTTATTTTAACTACGTATTTACACATGCTCTTAGAGGGGGAGTACTCTAAGATATGAAAAACATACAATACAGAATATAAACATCGTTCCACACGGCTAAATTTTCATCCTCATTACCTGGATAGTTGGCACTCCACTACTGTGTGCTTTTCGAGACACTTTTTGCCCCGCACAACCAATCTGTGGAACGGGGTATCGTCTGCGGTATTTCCGGACCGATACAACCTTCAAACCTTCAAGAAAAGAGCGTACTCCTTCCTAAAAGGCCGGCAACGCGTAAGTGACAACTGAGTTGCAGACGTTCATGGGCGGCGATGGTCTTCAGGTGACCCGTCTGCTCGTCTGCCCCCTCTTACATAGAAAAAGCATAAAATAAAAAACAGTGGTACAATTGGCAGCCTTATCGCAGTCTGCGATCTCTTACAGGCAACCTTTAGATGGACTAAACTCTACAGCAATATGTAGTTTGTGGTGGTAGTAACATCTTTTTGTGTCATTGTTATTAAAGAAACTGTTTTTTTTTATTGCAATGTAAGCTATAATTTAAGAAAGCCCCTTTGGATCGTCATAAATCATTAGGTATTATCTACTGTTAAGGAAATTTTTGAGAGCCATACTTTTGCGTATACTCGTAGAGGCCGTTTTTCGATGCAATTTTTCTCTACTAAGTGATGTCACCGGAGGTACAAGCCCCTAATTCTGACAGGGGAAAAGATAGGCAAATACCTGCATAAAATATTTTTAAGTAATAAAAATTAAATAAAATATAAGTTGTCTTCATTCTACACAGTTAAACAAGCCATTTATTTTCTTTATTTTTGCAATATCCTTGAGACGAGTTTTATATTGTGGCGTCTTCCACATAAAATGGAACGAAGAAACATACCATAGCACTAGGATTAACTGCTAATTCTGTATCGCGATATGAACAATTCTCTCGCCGATTAGCATATATACTACTTCCCAACAACAATCGGTGGGCTGCGGCCCGCCAGGCATAATTCCCTCGCCTGGTCGGAGGATCCTCCCTTTGTTTTGAAAGCACATGACACCCATTCCTCTACATATATGACGTTTAAAAAGTATGCGGTTTCCTTAATCTGACGATATCATTTTAACTCTCTTAAATGAATCCGAGAAACGCCATTCAATGGAGCATATATGGAGTCCTTCGATCAGAGAAGTACCACAACCTCACAGAAAACCGGTGTCAAGAATTAATTCTTTACTTTTCACACGGCATGACTGAAGGAAGCTTGTCCATCTAAGTCGGGTGCCCGATAGGGATTCAATTTAAAAGCCGTGTAGTGCCATTTCTGAGTCAAAATAGCTACAGTAACAAGGATGGAATTTAAATGAATGGGAAGTGACACAGATTTATTGAAATATTCAGTTTCCATTAGAGCAGACGGTTGGTTGAATGCCACCGACGCCGCCCGTGTAGTAATGACATTCTGTGAATATTGATGTCTGCAAGACGCAGATACCTACGAGTGTTTGGGTGAATCGAAATACTTCGAACTGGACCTAGCATCTTTCATAACATCGGACCTAACAGTAATAAGAAAACTACCTAGCTAAAACTTGAACTGACAATTTACGTTTAATATTGTATTGAAGATAATCTGCTTTTAAATTCCAAAGCAACTTCTTGAGTCTTTTTCGATACAAATTGCTTTCTTTTGTACAATTTTATTTTGATTTGGCGGGCCTGTTTATCTGCAGTCTGTTTAAAATAGCAAAGCTCTGCCTGTTTGGAATCGAAAGGTAAACGGTCATGTGTCAGATATTTCAAGTTTTCATAATTTATTAAATGAAATAAAAGACACTTTCAATCTTAATCATCGTAGATATAAAACCATTTGATATTAAATGTAACATATGTGCAAATGTAACATATAAAAATTGACATCATCAACAGCCTTTAATAGTCCACTGCTGGATATAGGCCTCTCCTAGGATTATGCACGTACAAGCGTAGTACACGCAATATTCTCAATCAAGAATATAAAATTTGGCTTCATTTCACATCTAATTCAGCAGTCATATGTATGAACGTCAATTACTTCGGGGAATCTATTATACTGATAATATATTATGGGACATTCTAGCGGGCTACTCACTAAAATCGGGTAAGACTTTATGAAGGAATTAGCTTTCAGTGCAACATTAACCGCTGAGTTGGTTGGTAGGCACTATCTAGAGCTTATTTATGAAGAAATTCGTGTTTAGTGCATCATTGGCCTCTAGTTTGAAGACGATTTGGTATTCTCCATGTATTACGATACGGCAATAATTAGCTCTGTTCCTTTACCACGTAATGTAGCAAGTTGCGGCTTAAATGTTGATTTATTCGTTGTATATGCAACATATCCTTAATCACAAAGAGTTTCCTGTACACTTTAATAAGAATTGATTACTATGTTTCATTCTTTGATTTTTTTAAATTCACATCTGTGCATCACGTAACATTTCAGTAACAACGTCTTATTTTAGACGTGAACTTTATTCCACTGATAAGCTTCCTGTAAAATAACCTTTAATATGACCTAATCTGTCGAAAAAGTTCAACACTTTTTAAAATTTTAAAGATTACGTAAAAATCTAATACTTCAATAAAAGGTATAATGAGTGTAGCATAGTTACTACAGCTTTTGAACGAAATTTTTTCAAATATGCTAAACTAGCAAGGCTTCATCCCAATTCAATTCCCTTCAAATCCATTAAGCTTTTCCTATTTTGCACTGAAAATTGAATATTTAAACGAGCGGGCTGTTGAATCGTTTGAAGTGTAGACTGCGACTGTTCGACGAATGGCAATTATGCGTAATCAAATGTCAGTCACCGTTAGTGCTGCAGTTATGGGCTCTGATTGTGTTAGACCGTTCGATGTACCGTCAAACTCCCTTCATTTATATCTGACTGTACATATACACATATTGAAAGATCATCACATCACATCAACAGCCTTTATTAGTCCACTGCTGGACATAGGCCTCTCCTTAGAAAGGAGGTTTTCGCCTACTATACCACGCTGACCAGACGGGTTAGTATAACGTTTGTGTCAAGTTTTACTTTTCTTTACAGTACTGTTGTCCTGCGTAGTTTCCTCCCTTAGTCGGGTTTTACAATATCCACAGGATGAATAAGGGTGGTGGTGAAACATCGTATTCTTAATCCGTCACCACAGTATAATTAATCAAGTACCTAGGCAGAAAACTTTGATTGTTTTTCTAATATGATTGCAAACCGATACTACTTTCTGTGTTATATTGTAGTCAATCGAGAATTTAATAACTGTTGACATTTTCGCATCCAACAAGATACGCCCTGGATTAACGGGGTAATGGTCTCTGAGATATTATGTCCAGACCCTATCGTTCAATCTCTAGTGCGCCGAGAACTGATCGATGTCTACCAATAACAGACCACCTTAATAGCCCCACTTAATTGCAAAACGCGGATCAACGAAAGTGATAGGTTCGAATGGATTAGTCTTCGTTAGTCCACGGCTTTTCTTGTGGTCTATAGCGTTTTCAGCTAAATCGTTATTTAAAACTGAATTTAAACATTTTTTGGGCGCTAATCTGGCAAATCTACATTGAAGGTAATTTTGTTCCACTGATTTCCAAAACACATATCTATCCTATGATTGTGTAAATGTCCTGCATTAAATAAAACATAATTTTAAATTTCCGACTTGTAAAAATGTCTGAAAAGATTTACTTACAGAAATAAATATCATTTATCATTTAATGTGAATTGAATCGACTGCCTTGGTGGCGCAATAGTAGCATGTACGACTGCTGACCAAATGTTTTGTCAATTGTTTTGATAGTACAAGCTCTGCTTAGTTTGAAACGAGACGACGTTGTGTGTTAGATGTCATAAAATAAAAATTCCGAATTTCATACTTTAACCAATAATATTATACAATAGTTACAACAGTTATTGTGTAAATTATCTAATTATTACGTGAGAGATGACAACTAGGGTAAACAGCTGTGCAATATGTCCCACAAAGTTTCTGAACATGTCTTGTCAAGAGACAAAACACGTTTCCAAGTTTTAAGTTTCTTGCCGTTCGACGGTTTCGAAATATCTTATATATCAGAGAACGTTTAAATGCAAACTGCATGACACCAAACTACTGTAGAATACGATTTGCATTTAGGAGTTAGTAAGATTGGCTGGATTGATTGGTCCCGTGTGGTGACGGATTAAGAATACGGAGTGTCACCACCCCCATTCATCCAGTGGGTGTCGTAAGAGCCGACTAAGGGAGTAAACTACGCACTGCAAAGAGAAGGAAAACTTGACACAAACCCTATACCAACCCGTCGGGCCAACGTGGTATCGTAGGCCAAAGCCTCCTTTCTAAGGAGGGCCTATGTCCAGCAGTGGACTATTAAAGGCTGTTAATGATGATCATGATGATGATGAAGATTGACTTAGCCATTATTAGGGGGCCATTTGAGGATGATTCATGAATTTCCATTCTTAGTAATACTTTATACTTAACTAACTAACAAATTTATCTTCGTTTTGTGAAAAAACCGAATTTTCCCCATTTTTGCATCATTTTTCATTGATGCTCATCTCCTTTCGGTCGTAACGTGATGTCATATAGCCTATAGCCTTTACTCAAAATCGCAAACGCTATGCAATACTAAAAGAATTTTTCAATTCGAACAAGTAGTTCCTGAGATTAGCGCTTTTAACCTAACACATAAATTCTTCTCCTTTATAATATTAGTATGGACTTAAATATCATTTCTGACATATCTCTTTTATTCTATTTGTTATCTTCAAGCAAAAAATCTGCTACACGTTCTCCGATAGCTATAGTCACGGCTTCAGTGTTGCCATGTGGAACTTCAGGAAGTACGCTTAGGTCTGCAACTCTAAGGTTCTTTATATTATGCACGCGCAACCGAGCATCCAGCACGGTACCTAAGGGCGCTGTGCCTGCTGAATGGAAAACAGCATACGTCATATGTCGCACGTAGCACCGCCAGTACTTATTTCGATTTACTTCATAGCTTGGGCAACCCGGTAGAACCAGTTGAAGAAGCGATGCGTTATACCACCTGAATATATGTGTCTCTGCAACCTGTTCGACAATCCTGATAGAGCGCACCATGTCGTCTACATCTCTCTCATTGGCTAAGTAGTTTGGGTATATAGCTGGTGGCGCCAAAGGATTTTTATTCGATAGACGCACGGTACCAGATGATCGAGGATTCAACAGGACAGGTGACATCACAATGAACGCGGAGTTTTTGTTCGCCTCACTTAACTGTTCAATCACGTTATCGTTGAATCCTGTCGTCTGTTGAAATAGAGGCTTCACAAGTGGTAGTAGGTTCCTTTCTATAAAAGAGTTAATAATTTGCAGGTTAGGCACTGTACAGTCGCTGCCATCTGAACTAACTTTGAGCAATTTTCTATCTTCAAAGTCGTAGCAGTATGTGTTGGCGAATATATTGATGTCAGTAAGACCATTGGATGAGAGTGCGCCTTGGTTTGCAACCAGCAATTCGGGTAGCTGTTCGAGGTTTGACGCCAGTAACATTAATTTATCGGATATCCCCTTATCCTTGCCTCTGTTGACTTTTAGCAGAAGCAAGGGTAACACGTGGTCTGTCATGACATCGCCAACAGGTAGGTCTGCCTTCACAGATATTCCCATACTTTTCAAATGATCTGCGTGACCAACACCAGATAGCATTAGTATTTGAGGGGTTGCCACGGCACCTGCACTTAATACTACCTCTTTTTTAGAATATAACTTTAAACTTCGTGCACCCTGAATAACAGTAACCCCGTGTGCAATGTTATTTTTGTCAATAATTACTCCTGTGCACATGGTATGTTTAGCCACCTTAAGTTTTTCCTTTACATCTTCTCTTGCTAGATATGCCCTCGCGGTACTCATACGTTCGCCTTGGTACACATAGCCTACAACTTTAGTTATACCTATTTGTGACTGCGCGTTAACATCAGGATTGTAAGGAAAATTAAGAGATCTGAATGACTCAACAAGCTTGAAATGAAATGGATTCAAGGGATCACTAAAAAATTCCATGCGCAATAGTCCAGTCCTGTTATGATAGAATCTAGAAGAAGGTGGCAGTTGGTTGAGATCTTGCAAGCCTTCGTATCGTAGAAAATAAGGCATCAGATCTTTGAAGGTCCAGCCAGGAGTAGTAATGTTATTGAAGTCTTTCTTTCTGTTGCCGCGAGTGTAGAGCATATAATTAATGGAAGTTGAACCGCCGAGGCACTTGCCTCGACTGAAGCGGCATTGTTTTCCTATTGAAGAAAGGCAGGACACGTTGTTTGAAATCGTCTCATACTTCCAGTCCAGATCTGAACCCATTAGAAACATGGTTGCGGCTGGTACCTATAAAAATTAAGCCACTTTATTCCTAAATCTATTGTCAGAACTCTAAATGACTGTTCTGAAATGTTTAACATCTATGCTCTCTACTTCTGCTACCTTTGAGAGTAATTTCGTGACATAAGAAGTAAATAAATAGGAATATACATTAAATAAGCGGCGGTTAAGGCTTGGACTTGCGATCAAGAGGTCGTGGGTTCAAATCCTGACCAGTACACTACCGATGTGAACCCACTTCTAACACAAGTAATTTAGCTTAGCGGGAGGGGTTAACCGGAATACTAGTAATTTCGGTTGCTAGAAGACCTTTTTAAAAGAATTATAATAATGGTAATAATTACCCTAGAGAGTTGGTTGGGATCGTCACCAGCCTCAATGAGTAACACATCTTCACCAGCGAGTGCCAGCCTAGCAGCTGCAGCGGCGCCCCCTGCACCTGATCCCACCACAATGTAATCGAACGTCTCACCATCTGATGAGTTAATCCCAGCTATTAGTTTTCTTCTAAAAGCTGTCTTAAAAGAAAGTCTTCATTTTGCAAATTTTGTTTCCCAAAACCTCTTGAGTCGCCATGTTTTGGTGTCTGCTCGTTGCCTTCCTATACCATAAAACCCTTGTAGTGATATTTTAGACCGTTATACATAAATGTTACTAGGTAAAATATCACATTAGGAATGACATTTTGTTGAACTCCTGCAACATATTAACTTTAATATGATACGAGTATTGGTTGAAAACTGCAATATTTAAGTTTACCTTTTAACTTGACACTTTTAGGAAATCTGTAGGAATTATTATCCAATATAGCGTCTACCGTGACGAGTTTCCACGGCAGTACTGTCAGTAACAGGATCCTGAAGCAACACATCATTATTTAAGAACCTCTGAACTGAATATTAAAACTGAAACCTATTCTAGCGCTAGGCAAGTAAATCATTTAAAGAGTCGATTAGGTTAAGGTTTAATTTAACTTCTTTTGCATGCATGCATGCGTCAAATTCAAATATGCTCATCGTCTACTAAATCCTTCCAAAATTTTATGCTGCTGATGTCTCACTGTACTTAAGTCCGTTTAGGAAATTTGTTTGTAAAAAGTAACCGTAAGAAAATCATGTCTCGGCACATGGGCTGCTTTGACGGGAGTATTTCCACGATCACAAAGAAAACAAATGGTAACAAATTCTTTCGCTGCATTTCGAACGAAATTCAATTATCATCAAACGAAAGTAAAAATTTCGATGCATTGACGACCGTATTGTCACAATTTTGTTGAATTCTAACTTTGTCTAATCTGATCTTGACACCAAATATTTATCAAATAAATTTCTTTAACATTACTCACTTACGACTGAACCCGCTAAAGGTTGAACTGCGACAAAGCGACGACATAGCACTAACTTCTGTTCGCAGTCGTATGTCAGTAATATCGCTGATACGGTATAATTAATTATTATAATAAGATCTCAAATGTTCCTTCGTATCATTGTTAACCATGGCTACTGGTGTTGGCTACTATTCAGCTAATTGAACGTGTATGTTACACCCTCGAGGCATGGGGCTTAATTAGCGTTTTAGTAACATTAGAACAGTGTAGTTTGTCAATAACATGATGATATGATGATTAATTCGCCATTTACATTGTACGCCCACAAATTTATGATGTATTTGAAAGTACATTGTCTTTTAGTTGAAGTTACCGATTATTTTGTGTGTGTGTGAATTAATAAACTTATATTATTAGTTTTTTTTCATTATTTTTAAGGTTTCGTACCTCAAAAGGTAAAATAGGAGCCCTTATAAGATCACTTTCTTGCCCGTCTGTCCGTCTGTCCGTGTGTCACCAACGATTTTCTCAGGAACGGGTAGCAAGTTGAAATTTATATCAGATACTGAGGTATATGGTCCCTGTTAGGTGTATAAAAATCAAAGTCCTGAGTCATCACGATAAAAAGATATGGGCAAATTTCGATTTTCTACGTAATACGCGAAAATCTACATAAAATCTGGGTAGGTACCGGTACTGACCAGTTTTTTTTACATTGTGAGATATTTGCTAACAAGTTACTAGCGTTAAATATTAAGAGCCCTCAAGAGAAATATTAAATTCTCACAGTTTTCATTACCCTATGTAGTATGAGTACCAACAGAAGTTTTATTGACCTTTTTATTTATATTACGAATACAAACTTCAGAGAGCATCTGTCAAATTTCCTTATTATAACTGTTAAAGTGTCGCCTTCCATAATATATTAATATATTATTTACGAGCATTAATGCGCACACACACACGTATTCATCCCCTGGGCGTCGTAAGAGCCGACTGAGGGAGCTAACTACGCAGGACAACAGCACTGCGAAAAGAAGGAAAACTTGGCAACCTTGTTTTTTTTTTTACTCTGCGCCTGTAATAGGAGGGATCCGGGCACAGCTGTTATTAAGACATCCGGACCCCTCCTAGCGCCAGCCCGCTCCAGTTGCGGGCCCCGTCTCAAAATTGTTCCTCTCTTTAGGCGACGTCCGGCACACGCGGACGCCGCCCCCTCGCGGCTGGCCAAACTTGGCAACCTTATACCAACCCGTATGGCCAGCAGGCCAAAACCTCCTTTCTAAGAAGAGGCCAATGTCCATCAGTGGTCTATTAAAGGCTGTTGATGTGAATGCCTGACTGTTACCCAGGTGTCAGGTATGTACTTAATACTTATCGTGAGTGCGTTAGTCCAGTAAATATAAATTGTCCGTGTCTCGGAGAACAGGATAAGTCGTCGGTACCGGTGGCCATATGAACTTCTGTGACAATTTTTGATGGCAGTCACTCCACGTGAAAATCAAAACTCCATCACGTCGTAGAAGACTGAAAGACGACCCCAACCTAGATTGCAAAAAGGCTCGGAGGATAATAATTATAAGTTGTCATATTATTTTGGACGCAGTGAAAAATTTTGATCCTCATTTTCAAAATTTGTTTCAGAATCGATTATTAGTCATAGATAGTATCAAATACTGAGAAAACTTTGCAATCTAAGAGTTTCCCTTACATTACCAGGACGCATCTGCTGTAGGCAATTATAAAAATTATAGTTACTAAAAGATATTCAGAGCCAATATCAAAATGCAAATGTATTTAGCAAAACAACGCACGCATTCTTATCTACACACAGTTGAAGCAACTTACCCTACTTAGATACAACTAACTATTGTACGAAGAACAATAACAAATATTTATGTATTCAGGGCACTCATCATAGCAGAGCCGAACTCACACTTCTTTCCTTCGAGAAGCTCAGCTTACAGCAGTGGCATATGACGTGTAATATCTCTTTGTCTGTAGCTTTCTTTATTTTTCATTGTTTTGCAAAATTAATAATATTTTAACCATAATCAGTCGAACTGAAATTATGAAAAACTAGGCACCACTGCATCTGCATTATTATGTATGTAGACATAAGTATGGGAATTAATGTGATCACGTTACAGATATTACATACCTTAAAATTGTCTGACGATGACCACAAGACCAGAGTGCATTGGCCTTGGCTATTCCCGGTTATTACCCAGGACCTAATAAATATTTAATTTCCATTTATATCTAATACCACTATCATATATGAATTAAAATGTGAAGAGTTCTCACATGAAATCTGTCAGTTCATTGGCAATATACATTTACAATTTATCGACCGCGGCGCATCTGTCTAAAGATAGTAAGAATTTTATTCTTCGCACATAAAATGAGTGATAAAACCATTTCAAATATTTGATTTTCACGACTTTTCTTCTCGCGGATTTGCACAATAGATCTTGTATGAACAAATATGTTTATCGTGTCGCTGTAACTCAGAATACTATTATTATTTTTTATGTTAGAGGGGGCAGACGAGCAGACGGGTCACCGTCATAACACCTTCCAAAGACCAATCTTTGGAAGGGGTTATGATGGTGAGCCACTTTTTGCCCTGCACAACCAATTGTGCGGGGCAAAAAGTGGCTCGAAAGCGTACAGCAGTGGAGCGCCAACTATCCAGGTAATGAGGATGAAAATTTTGCCGTGTGGAACGATGGCGGAAATTTGCGACTGGTTAGTCCGAAGAATTCCTCGGAGCACTCTCCATGATAATCGTGCAGAGGGCCGAGTGCAAGTTTATTTCACATGGACTCCCTCTCGAAGGCGAGCTAGTTTAGCTTTGCGATTGGTGGAGATTTCATCGCGTGCCAATCGTAGCGGCGAACGCGCTCACCGTGACGATCGAGTCGAAGTGAAATAAACTCGCACTTAGGCCTTTGATAATTCTTTGTGTTTAACCTATTCTGCGAGTGACAATGACGAGGGTCGCCTTGTCACTGGTATGTAACAAGACATTACACAGAGAGCGGAATCGTTTCACGGACATAATAAAAGAACGCTCAAGGAATGGTGGCGGGGAAATTTGTAATGGAGAAAAGTTAATATGACGTGTGTGTGTGTGAAAAAATGTGTCTCCATCATCAGCCTATCGCCGTCCACGGCTGAATGCAAGCTTCTTCCAAAGAGCGCCAACCATCCTGGTCTTGGGCAGCCAGCATTCGTCCGCCGCCAGCCATTTTCTCAAGTATTCGGTCCATCGTGTCGCAGGGCGCCCTACACTACGTTTACCTAATCGTAGTTTCCACTCTAGCACATGTCAGCTCCAGCGACCATGAGTCCACCTGGGGACATAACCGGCCAACTTACACTTCAGCGTACTGATTCTCCAAAGAAGAAGTGTACAAAGCTAAAATTTTTAGTTTTTAAAGTGTATTTAATGGTACTTCAAGTTGTATTTGTCAATAAAATAAAACAAGGCATTAAAAATAATGTGATATCAAGTAAAAGTAATTATACATGACATAGTTGAAGCCTACCTTATAAATTAAAAACAAGTTGTGAAATAAATGGACAGCCGTCCATACGCGCAGAAGCTATGATCGCAATCGGAGATCACACAGATTAGAGACCCTTAAAACACCTCTCTTTCTGCGTCAGGAGCTAAAAAAAGGACTTACTTCCAACAGAATCTGCAACACGTAATGCTAGTAAACATCTTAATTATTTCTATCCTTTTTTCTTTTTTAAATTGTTTCGGAAAAAATTATAATGCTCTCCTGCAAATTTTTGACATGTCGCTCTAACGCATCATTAATTACATTAACTGCTCAGACAAAGTCTGATTGTAGGAAATGGGTTGAGAAAGTCGTTTTAAGTAAAAAACGAGAATTGCCCTTATAAAAATACTGCACGTTTACGAGTTTTTCAAGACAGAGCAGGCTTTAAGTTTTTATCTTTATTGAGTCCAGACAGTACAGGCTTACTGACTGAACATCATACAGTATAGTACGTAGGATGCGACCTTAACCAGGATCAGGTCAGTAAATCACACAAAAGTCTCTAGTCTCTACTTTTTGGCTCAAGTTCGATTTAAGTCATATTAAGTCACGGATAACATAAAGTACTAGTTCTCCAGAATAAAGTATAATAACCTTAACATCTTTTACCGCCAGCAGACCTCTACAACTATTACTATAACAATTATGTATAATATTAACTATAACTATAATACAACTACTATAATACAACACTATACTACAACAAAACTATAATACAACATACAAACTATACACCTACACAACATCGAAACAGAACATCATTCTGCAGAAGTTTTTTTTTACCACATTAACTAAGCAGAGCTTGTACTATGGGTACTAGACAACTGATATAAATACATATATACTGTTTTTTTGGTAAATACATACTTATTATACATAGAAACACCCAAACCAAATCAAACATTAAATGTTCATGCACACGAATGTGTGACTTGAGCGGGAATCGAACCCGCGACCTTTGAAATAGCAGTC